AAGAGAAACAGACTTTCTCAGATAAGCAAAACTGAGGAAATTCATTACCAGAATACCTGCCTTTTATAACATGTTAAAAGAAATTCTTCAGAGAAAAGGAAAATGGTATAGTTAATAAACTTGTGTCTACATTATGAACAGAAGAGCATTAGAGAAGGAATAAATGAAGGTAAAGTAAAATCTTTTGTTATTCTCATTATTAATTTTTACATAATAGTTGCATATATATATAGGGCACATGTGATATTTTGGTACAGGTGTATAATGTTTGATAATCAAATAAGGGTACCTGAGGTGTCCATCACCTCAAGCATTTATTATGTCTTTGTATTAGGAACATTCTGGTTCCAGTCATTCAGTTATTTTAAAGTATACCCTAACTTATTGTTGATTATAGTCACTCTGTTGTGCTATCAAACAGTGTTCATTCTATCTCACTATCTAACTATAGTTTTGTAGGCATTAACCATACCCACTTTATTCCCTGCTCCCTACTTCCTTTCCAGCCTCTGGTAACCATCATTCTACTCACTGTCTCCATTAGATCAATTGTTTTAATATTTAGCTCCCACATATGAGTGAGGCAATGTGAAATTTGGCTCTTTGTGCCTGGCTTATTTCACTTAACATAATGTTCTCCAGTTCCATCTATGTTGTTGCAAATGGCTATATAATATTATATATAGCCATAATAATAATATATATTATTATCATTTCAATGCCTACATATATTCCATTATGTATATGCACAATAATTTCTTCATCCATTCATCTGTTGATGGACTCTTAGGTTGATTCCAAATCTTGGCAATTGTGACCAGTAGTGAAATAAACATGGGAGTACAAATATCTTTTTGATATACTGATGTCCTTCTTTTGGATATATACCCAGCAATGGGATTGCTGGGTCATATGGTAGGTCCATTTTTAGTTTTTTGAGTAACCTCCATACTGTTCTTCATAGTGGTTGCACTAATTTACATTCCCACCAACAGTGTGTGAGAATTTCCCTTTCTCCACATCCTCACCAACATTTATTATTACCTGTCTTTTTGATAAAAGACATTTTAACAGTAGTGAGATGTTATCTCATTGTGGTTTTTATTTGCATTTCCCTGATGATTAGAGACATTGAGCATTTTTTCATGTGTTTCTTGGCCATTGGCCTGTCTTCCTTTGTAAAGTTTCTGTTCATGTCCATGTTTTTTATTTCTTTTCCTTATCTGATTGCTCTACCTAGAAGTTCAAGTACTATGTTGAATAACAGTGGTGAAAGTGGCATCCTTGTTTTGTTCTAGATCTTAGAGGAAAGGCTTTCCGTTTTTCCCCATTCCGCATGATGCTAGCTGTGGGTCTGTCACACATGGCTTTATTCATGCTGAGGTAAGTTACTTCTATAGCCAGCTTTTTGAGAGTTTTTATCATGAAGGGACATTGAACTTAATCAGATGCTTTTGCAGCATGAATTGAAATGATCATATGGTTTTTGTTCTTTGTTCTGCTGATGTAATGTATCACATGGATTGATTGTATATGTTGAACCATCCTTGCTTGCCTGGGATGAATCCCACTTGATCATGACGAGTAATCTTTTTAATGTGTTGTTGAGTTCAGTTTGCTAGTATTTTGTTGAGGATTTTTGCATCTATGTTCATCAGAGGTGTTGGCCTATAGTTTTTTTTTTTTCTTTTTTTTCTTGTTGTTGTGTTCTTGTCTGATTTGGGCATCAAGGTGATACAGGCTTTGTAGAATGAGTTCAGGAGTATTCTCTCCTCAATTTTTTTTTGAATAGTTTAAGTAGGATTGATACTAGTTCTTCTTCAAATGCTTGGTAGAATTCAGCAATAGAGCCATTAGGGCCTGTACTTTTCTTTGCTGGGAAACTTTTTATTACTGCTTCTATCTCTTGTTATTGGTTTATTCAGATTTTGGATTTCTTCCTGGTTCAATCTTGGTAGGTTGTCATTATTTATTGATCTAAAAGAACTAGTTTGTTTAAACTAATAATCGTAACAGTATGTTAGATAATTACAGCATATGGATAAGTTGAATGAATGACAACAATGTCATAAGAGGTGAGAGGGAGGGATTGGCCATACTATGTTACAAGGTACCTGCACTACACATGAAACTGAACTTGGGTTAATTTAAAATTTGCATATTGCAAACTCTATTACAATCACTAAAGAAAATTAAAAGAAGTATAATTGATATGCTGAGAGAAGAGATAAAGTAGAATCATAGAAAATGTTCACTCAAAGCAAAAGAAGGAAGAAAAGAGGGGAAAATTAAAGCAAGAGAAAGCAGAGTAAAAATATATATATAATACATGGGAAACAGTTACAAACATGGCAGATATTAGTCCAACTATATAAATAATTCAATGTGACTGGTTTAAATGCACTACTTAACCCTCAAAAGATAGAGATTAATAGAGTAGATTTAAAAAAAAAAGACCCAATGTTTTAGGCAACTCTGAATTGTCTATAAAAAATGCACTTTAAATGTAAAGCCTCAGGTTAAAAGTAAAGGGATGGAGGAAAACTGTGTTAACACTCATCAAATAAAGCTGGAGTCACTGTTGTAATTTTACACAAAGCAGACTTCAGTACAAGGAAAATTATCTGGGATAAAGACATTCAAGAATGCTAAACGGGTCAATTCTCCCGTTATCAGACATAATGATCCTAAACATGTATGCACCTAACAGTAGAGAATCACAATACATGAGATAAAAACTGATGGAACTGCAAAGAGAAATAGACAAATCCACTATTGTAGCTGCAGACTTTAACACCCTTCTCTCAGCAATAATTGACAGACATAGCAGAAAACTAGTAAGTAGAATAGGACTATCAATCTGCTTGATCTAATTGACATTTATATTAATAGAATACTTCATCCAACAATAGCAGAATCCACATTCTCAAGTTTGCATGAAAATTTGCCAGGATAGATTACATTCTGGACCATAAAACACCTTGACAAATTTAAAAGAGTATAAATCATACACAATATGTAATCAGACTATAATGAATGTAATCTGTGAATCAACAACATAAAGATATTTGAAAATTCCCAAAATAATTTGGTCTTCCTACCTAAAAGATATGGCCCCAGTCTAATGGTGAGAAAAATATCACATAAATCTTCATTGAGGGACATATAACAAAAATGAGTGTTCATCAAAGATGTCAAGGTCATCAAAAACAAGGGAAGTCTAAGAAATTGTTAGTGCCAAGAAGAGCCTAAGGAGTCATGACAACTAATGAAATGTGTTATCTTGGATGGGGTCCTGGAGCAAAAAACAATATATGTAAAAGTGAAGAAAATGTGAATAAAGTATGGACTGACTTGGTAATAATGTATCAATATTGTTCCATTAATTATAACGTACATTTAGAATATTAATAATATGGGAAACCTTCTGGAGTTATAGGAATTCATTGCCTTATCTTTGCAATTTTTCTGTAAATCAAACTGTCCTAGAATATATTTTATTTTAGAAAATTAATAGTCCTTCATGTGTTCATTTGTAGAACTCTTCCCTAAGACCATTAGTTCCAGTTTTAAGAATTTCTACTGAGTAAAACCTTTTGGTATTTATACTATTCGGTTTATTTCTGAAATATTGCAATTCTTTTATTTTCCTTATAAACATATGTAAGGTTAAAAATGTCATTCAGTCCTTAAAATCCTATGTCTTCCATAATATTTTTCAGTGCCCATTTTGTTCATTATCATTTTTAAACTTGCTATTTAAGAACAAAATTCATAGAGTCACAAGTGAAAAGTAAAGAAGGACCATCTCTTTTATCTACTCATGTTTTATCATTACAGTTTGAAGTGCCAGTATGGAAAAAGCATCACTTTGAAAGTAGACTGTCTGGCAGAGACTGCAAAACTGCATTTTGCAATGGTGTCATCCAAACTCTAGGGAATTCTGTTATTCAGAAGTCTTCCTGGTTCATTCATGCATTAAGAGGATGAGCCTTGCTGCTTTCTCATCCTGACAGAGGAGAATGTTGCCATGACAGCTGTTAGGAGATGTGGAGATGTGTAAAGGGCATCCGTAATGAAAAGAGAAAATAGCCTTGCTTCTTGGGCCTCACTGATGATACATGGAATAGCATGCGTGGAGTCGCAAAATGAACCTTGAAAATCTGTTAGCTTCATATTGGACACAATACTTTACACATACATACACACACAAACACACACACAGTTCATTTTTTATCAGCCTAAGCAGCATGTAGAAAAATTAAACCTCAACTAAAACCATGCACAGACACCTACTTTTCCATCTTTGGAGTGTAGACTGAAGATCTACCATATTGAATATTTTAAAACATTATTTTCTAAGTGATTGTTATAAAGGGAAATATTTTCCAAAAAGAATCTTTCATGAAAAGGTCCTTAAAGCTAGAAAAGATGTCAGGGAATAATCAGAGAGCTCAGTAGGTCTCATCTCTTCTGTTGCAGAAAGAAAAATATTTTTTTTTAATATAAATATGTTGAAGGAATATTTACTAATTGAAGGATATGATATCTTTTGATATTATTTTCTTTAAAATAATATGGGCATGGGGAAGTGGTTAGGGCCATAGGCAAAACAAAATTGGCTATGAGTGAATTGTAGAATATTGATATGGATGGAATTGTACCCCCCATTCATAATTGTGCCCCCCCCATTAAAACCATAACCCCCAGTACCTCAGAATGTGACTATATTTGGTGATTAAATTAAAATGAGGGCTTCAGGGTGGCCCCTAATCCAATCTGACTGGTGTTCTTATAAGAGAAGGAAATTTGGACATACCAAGAGATAGCAGGGATGAAATTTGGATACACAGAGAGATACCATGGACATGAAGGTACAGAGGAAAGGCCACTTGGGGACACAGTGAGAAGGTGGCCATGTACAAGCCAAGGAAAGAGGCTTCAGAGGAAACCAGACCTGCCAATACCTTGATCTTAGACTTCTAGCCTCCAGATCTATGAGAAAACATATTTCTGTTGTTTAAGCCCCCCCCGTCTGTGGTATTTTGTTATGGCAGCCCTAGCAAACAAATGCCGATACCTATCACATAATCAGAGCATGTGTTTTATGCTCTCTGCTGAAGGTTGAGTTAGTTGCTTTGGAGCCCGATGATGGATAATAAGACGAGACAGTGGGGATCAAGGAAGGCTTGCTGAAGGTGGGTAGGAGTTAGCCTGGTGAAGAGGCAGTGGGAAGAGAATTTTAATAGAAGGAACAGCATGTGCTGTCCAGAGGCCTGGATATGAGAACATCACATATTTGGGAAACTAGTAGTAGGTTAATAGGGATGAAGTCTGGGGTATGAGTGAATGAGCAGTGAGAATCCAGCATGAGGGTAGTAAGTTTTTATCACCATCTAATACACATACATCATGTACACACATAAGTGTATACTCATTTTGTTTAATGTTAGTCTCTCCCCACTGGGACGTAAGCTCTTAGATGTCTTTTTGTCTCTTTTACTATTGTATTTTTCACTGCCTAGAATAGTGCCTGGCACATAGAAGACATTCAACAGAAAAAAATTATTGAATAAATGAATGAATCAGTTACATGATTTGTTCTTTTAAAAAAATCACTTTCAAACAATGGAGAATCAGACAGCACCGTGGAAGGTGTTTGGAATGTGGCCCAGGCAGGGATAACAGTTAGGAGACTGTTGCAATAGCCCTGTTAAAGTTGATGGTGGAGGTGTGGAGGAAATTACTAGACTGACGGGAGAGTTTCTCAGGAGGTAGAACTAAGAGAACTTGTAATATGATTGGGTATAGAATTTGAGGGAGAAAGATCATTTCCAAGTTCATGGTGTACGCACTGAAGGAAAGGGTCCTTTCCTGAGGTAAGAAACATAACAAAGAAAAGTAAATTTGGGGTGTGGGTTGGAGGTACTGAGTTCAGTTTTGGTCTTGTTTAGCTTTAGGTAGCAGAATGGCATCCAAGTCAAGATATCTGTTTGATAGTGACAGAGAGGGGACTCTTTGGACTGGGTCTAGAGTTAGGTATCTTCACCTTAGAGCTGACACTAAAGCCACGGAAATGGATGTGGTTGTTCAAGAAGGATGTGTAGACAACAGAAGATAAAAACAAGGAGTATTTGAGAGTGAAATAAAAATAGAAAATAAGAAAAAACCAGGATATCAAAACAAGCAGTATAAGCAGTGACAAGTTTAGTGCCCTTCCAAAAAGTTCTGAGAATTCTTTATTGTTCTGTTTGTCATTACTTTATAGAACTTTAAGAAGACTGTGTAATTCAAATTCTAGCTCTGAAACTATAGACTTGGTAAGTGACTTAATCTCTTTATATCTTATTTTTCTTCATCTGTAAAATGGATCCAATTATAACACCTATCTCTATTATAGGTTTGTGGTGAGGGCTAGATTAAATATATATAAAACCTTTAGTACACAACGTGCATGCAGTAATTGTTAGCACTTATTATTTCTAATCGTTAAGTTTACACTTTAATTTTTAAGTTTAATTGTAGACTTTACTTAGTTTCCAGTTAGGAACACTAGTGTTTATGGCTTTCCAGATCAACCACAGATCTCTAGGTGCAGATTGTTGAGTGTGATGGAGCATGATTTTAGGCTATGTTCGTGAATATGTGTGTATGTAACAGGGCTATCTGGAAAATATCCAAGTGTATAATATGAAAAATTATGAAAATTATGGCTGGCGACTTTCTGGACTGCCCTCAGATATAATTATTAAGATATATATTAAAACTGAATATTAAATTATTAATATACCTACTAATTGCTAATTATAAATCGTAAGCCAAATGATTTAAAATGTGAGGCAACATTGAACAAGATACAAACTCCAGAGTAAAATTAAAGTGTGCTATTGAGTAAATTTTATCTGTTATTGTATAATCAGGAGCTTACTGTTTTTTTCCTTTTTGTTTTCAGATGGATCTGTACATGAGTACTTTGAATATCTAAAAGTCCTGGATCCCTACACATTTCCTAGCTCATTAAAGTGTGTGTTTGCAGTTTTTTTTTTTTTTTTTTTTTACCTGTGGTCTTCTTTAATTGACATCTTGATGGCATGGCTTTGTAGGGGGTGCCCAGTTCTTACTGCTTCCTGCCTGTTTGCTGCAGAAGCTGCTTTTACTCTTTAATATCATTCTTTGGTCTAAATGGCACTGTTTTGCTGTAAGACAGGCACGTTAGGACAGCCTCATGCTTGAGTTGCCTGTAAAATGCTCCCCACTGACTATCTTTTCCTAATCAGAAAAGTCCCCTCCATTTGACCCACTTTCCTGCCTCAGTTCCATTCCCCTTTGAAGTCCAATGTGGAAGTTTCTTTGCATAAAATTGTTTACGATAATATATTAATCCTGTTAGTAGGTTTCCCCACATTTCAAAAACTTGCCTCTCCTTGAAGATTTTCTCTTCTTATTAAAGGAAATAGGCTGTTTTCTTTCTAAATTTTAAAGCTGTTAGCTTGGGCTATGCTTGCATCACTACTCCCACCAGAATGGCAAAAATAGAGATGTTTTAGTGTCCCAAAGGGAGAAAGAAACATATAACGATAAATATATATACTGCGGGAGTGAGGCTGACCCCAGAGGTAGGCCCTCAGGCAGGACTGGCCTATTTATGGGTGACCTTTCCGATTCAAAACATCATTCTTCACATGCTAGGCTATTTTCTAAAAAGTTGACATGGGAATTCTCATATAAATCCATCCTTTTGAAATACATTAGGGTAAACAAACATCATATTTAAGAAACGTATTCATTCATTTGTTCAACATTCAGCCATTAATCAGTTATTTTCTGGATGCCAGGCAGGAATGGTAGCAATGGTGGCATTCAGTAGTGAACAAAGTGGATGTGGTGTTTGCTCTCATGGAGCTTAGTATTTAGTGGGGGACATCGACACTAAACAAATGCCTTCCTAAGTATTCAATAAATATTTGATGAACAAATGAGCTTTGAAAAAATTGAGGTCAAGGGAGTTCCCAAGAAAGAGGAAAAAAGCTGATTTTTTTTTTTTTTATAAAGACCAATGAACATCCCAAACTCATGGTCTTCTATAACTTGGGCTGTCAAAGATGCTACAGGTTAAACAGGCTCTTGTAGTTTTTCCTTAAACTTAACTGCTTCTCATAACATTGTTGCTGTAGAAAGATGCATATAGAATTGCAAATTACAAACTCCAAAAGTGATCATCTGGAATGCTTCTTATGTGTAAGCCAGGCTTGCTTTTTTCCATGCAAAGTCATTCATCCCTTTACCTACCTAAATTCCCTGCCTCCTGCTTTCCTCCCTACTCTGACTTCCTCTCAATCAGTAGTCAGCTCCTTCCCCTGTGAGGTAAGGGTCTGAGAAATAGAAAACTTTAAGACAGGGACCAAGGTTGGCGATTAATAAGAAGTGATGCAACATTCCATCTCTATTTCCACAAAACGTCCCTATTCTATTACCTATTGAAAAATAACATAGTTTTCATATGTTTTTAGGGGAAGTTATAAAAATGTTTTCTGTATGAGCTAGACTCTGAACCAGTATATACAATACTTGATTGTGCAGTAGCAGCATTTGGCACTGTTTGTTGCTCTTATTTTCTTTGAAAAACTCTCTTCCCTTGGTGTTACTGATACCAGCCTTCCCTGATGTTCCTCCTGGTTCCATGTTTGCTCCTCTCAGTCTCTGCTCCTGATCTATCGTGATCTTCCAGTAGAGTCTTAAAAGCCCTCATTTCATCACACTCTATGTGGATTTCTCAACCTTGGCACTATGGACATTTCGGTCTGGGTAGTCTTTGTGGTGGAGCCAGTCCTATGCATTGCAGGATGTTTAACAGCATCCCTGTCCATTTCTCACGAGCTGTCCCCAGTTGTGATAACCAAAAATGTCTGAGTACATTGTTACATATCTCTTAGGGGCAAAATAGCCCCCCAACTTCCAGTTGAGGGCCACTGCTTCACACTCTTTGCCTAAGCAAGCCTGTCCACACTCTTGAATTCAATTATGACCTACGTGTAAATCATGCTCATTGTATGATTTCAGTTCAGACCTTGTTTCTGAGCTCCAGTGATATGTCTTCTGGATACTTCAAGGAGATTGCAAAGCCAAAGAAAAGTCTTTGATTTTCCTTCCCACACTGCTACTCTCCGTGTTTCCTGTCTCATGATAAGGCAGCCCCATCCACCCATCTCCCTCACTGCCTGTCTTTAGCCAGTTGCTAAGTGTTGTTGATTCTGCATTCCCATGTGACCCCAGACCCATTCCTTCCTCTGTGTATTTACAATGCCCAGCACTGTAGCAGGTTGATCTGATGCAGGTTGAGCTGCCATCATCTACTGCCTGGAACCCCGATGAGCTTCACCCTAGACTTCAGGAACTTTTGCTTCTCTTCAGTTCATTTTCTGTGTCATTCCAAGGGTCTGGTAAAACAGTAAATTCGAATAGGTCGCTTGCGTGTGCTTCCATCTGCTTTCAAGTTAAGGACCCAAATCCTTAACAAGACTAGATGACCTATATGATCTGGCCCTTACCTACCTTTCCTCTGCTTCTTGGACATACCATATATCTTCCCATCTTCCTGTTTCTGCACATGACTAGAATATTACCAGTCATCGCCTCCTCAAACCCACCTACCATCCTCGCTATTTCCTATTATATTAGGGATTTATAATTTTTTCTCTCCCCATTTGAAATTTCACTAATGCTACTCTAATGAAGAAGGTAACATGGTGTCATCAGTTTCATATTTTTGTATGTGTATATTTCTTTCATTCAGCAAATTAAACAAGACAACATATCTATGTACATCCTTTTCTAAAAAGGATAATGTATTTATAAAAATATTAAACTAGCATAAGAAATAAGAAAGAGATTGAATTATATACATACACATATGCATACATATATATTTAAAATTGCTTTTTAAAATGATATTGCCTATTTATCAATTTTTGGTGTGTGATTTCTGGTTTTTTGTTTTGTTTTGCTTTTCTTTACAGTGTATCAAGATGTTTGAAAAGATACTCTGACAAGAGAATGTACTGTACCATAAAGATTCAAAAGGAGATAATTTGTGGCTACTGAGCCAGAAATATGTATGAGTCATAAATTAAACCTGACAAACCTGTCATAAAATATAAGTTTTAATAGAAACATAATCTGGGCTTTCATGACTGTGTCAGAATCAATAATACATCATCAGCTCTTTTTTAGATTGGCTCACATAATGCAAAAATATGAAAGTAAACACAACATTTTTTAGCCTGTGAGCAAAATTGTAAAATGTAAATATGGCTTAAGCAAAAAAAAAAAAAAAAAAAAAAACCTCCAAAATTATAAATTAGTTTTATTGTAGAATATAGAATATGGAAAGTTATTGTTTAAAAAGAAGTAGGCCATAAACCAAATTAGAAGATAAAGGACAAACTGGAGGAAGACAGTTAAATATATAATAGACAAAGAGTTAATTTCTTTAATATATAAGCACTTTTACATATCATTTTATTTAAAAGTAAGCCAATAAAAAGGTGGACCCACAAACATTTTTTAAAGGGATTTAAATGGCAAAGAAATATTTGAAACATTGTTCATCTAGCTAGGAATCAATTACAACTACAAAGAAAGTTTTATCCATTACATGGGAAATTATTTTTTAAAAGTAATCATAACACAATAGATACTGATAGTGGAGAGCACACGGGGCAGTGGACACCCATTCTCTGCAGGTGTGACTCTGGAAGCCCTGTTTATAAAATGCATCAAAAGTCCTAAACTCTCAGTGTCCCATTCTAGGAATTTGTCTTGAGGAAATAATTAGTTATGAGTATAATGATTTTGATACCTCAAAGTTTATCTAAGCATTGTTATACCGAAACATAAAAACAATATAAATATCCATCAATACATGATATTAGAGTTATCCACACAGTGGAATATTATGTAGTCCTAGAAATGATATCTTAAAGCAGGGGTCCTCAAACTTTTTAAAGAGGGGGCCAGTTCACTGTCCCTCAGACCATTGGAGAGTACGCACTGTGGGCCCGGGACAAGTCGGCTGCTAAGCAGGACAGGCAGTGGTGGCAAAAACACCTGGAGGGCGGGATAGATGTGCTAGGTGGCCCACATGTGGCCTGGGGGCCATAGTTTGAGGACACCTGTCTTAAAGTGTTTATTCACATAAAGAAAATATTTATGATGAATTATCAGGTCAAATGTATAGAATAGATCTAGGACCCAGGTCTGGGTTCCTAACACCATTCCCCAATGAAAAAAACCAGGGCTCCTTGGAGAGAGCTGATTCTAGTACTGGTGCAGAGTGAAGAGCATCTTGTAGTCCCAGAAAGGAAGTGTTCAAAAACATAAAAACAAAACCCACATAATGGGGTATTGCATTCAAAGGGATACAGTAATCAGCTGAAGAGCTCCCAATGGCCAAAGCTGGGACAATTTCAGCAACAAAATAAAGTAATATGAGGTCATAATCATAATCTAAAATATATGATGAATATTCATGAATGTGTGCAATATAAATAATTGAATAAATAAATACATAAGGGACAAGAGAGAAGTCTCCCATGCCAAAAAATTTTAAATAATTTATGTAGATATTCCACCCCAAGGACATAGAATGTAACTCTCCACTCCTTAAACATGGTCTACATGTAGTGACCTCCTTCCAAACAGTACAGTATAGAAAGAGGGAAGAAATAACTTTACAGTGGAGAAAGCTGACAAACACTACCTCAGCCATGTGATTAAGGTCAACATTAACAGTGATAAGTCATGCTGATAGTATGTGTCTTCATGTGATGAAAATGGCACTATCTCTGTAGGCTTATTCTTCAGAACCTGTAACCCCACTCTAATCATGAGAGAACCATCAGGCAAATTCCAGCTGAGGGACATTTGCAAACTACCTAACCAGTAAGCCTCAAAACCGTCAAGGTCATCAAAAAGAATGGAAGTCTAAGAAACTGCCACAGTCCAGACTAGCTTCAGGGGACATGGTGACTAAATACAATGTGTAAGGCTAGATAGGATACTGGAACCAAAAAAGGATACTGGGTTAAAACTAAGCAATTCTGAATCAAGTATGGACTTTAGTTATTGATAATGTACAATATTGAGTATTTAATTGTAATTGGATGTAAGTTGGCGATCAAGGTGGAGGAAGGGTTGGTCCCTCTGAGGGCCAACAAGGAAGGATCTGTCCAGGTCTCTCTCCTTGGCTTACAGATGGCAGAGGGCAGTCTTCTCCTATGAGTCCACATCCTCCTCCCTCTGTAGCTATTTGTATCCAGATTTCTTCTTAGGACACCAGCCGTATTGGATTAAGGACCACCCTAATGAACTCATTTTAATTTAACTACCATTGGAGAAAGCCCCTTTCTCCAATGTGGTTACAGTCTGAGGTACTAGGGGTTAGGACTTCAACATATGGATTTTGGGGACACACGGTTCAGCCTATGACACCAGGTTTCTCATTGTTAGAGAAAGAAGTGACAAATAAGTAACAGAGGAAGGCTAGAAGGAACCCTGTGATGATAGATTAGAATCCTGGAGACAGAAAGTCTTGCAGGGATTACCTCTATCTTTTAAATCAGTGGTTCTCGATGTGTGCTTCAGGGGCTAGGAGCAACAGTATTGCCTCAGAACTGGTTAGAGATGAAAATTCTCAGGTCTAATTTGAGTTTTAGCAACTTACAAACTTTGGTGATTAGGTTCAGCAATCTGTATTCGATTAACAACAAGCTTTCCAGGTGATTCCACTGCAGCAATCACAGTGTCCTTATCTGAAACGCAAATATTACTATTAATAATGCCAACCTCTGATGGTTTATGTCTAATGTGTGTAATGCAAACCAATTTGTCAATTTACCTGACACATTGAAAGTGGTTCATTAAAAGATATTAAGACCAGATATCACCACCCTCCCCTCCCCAAATATCTTCATGGCCAACCCCCTTACCTTCTTTTGGGCTTTGTCTGAATGTCACTTTGTCATAGAAGCCTTCTTGGACTACCCTCTTTACAATTGCAGCATGCCCCTCCCTCTTGCCCCACTACTTGGAACTCCCAATCTCCCTTGCTCCTGCCCCGTACTCCATCCCCTCATAGCACTTATCTCCTAATAAATTATATAATTAATGTATTCATTGTGTGCATTTTAAAATGTCTGTCTCCCACTGCTAGATGGTAACTTCTCAAGGGCAGGGAATCTTTGTATTTATTGATATAGTCCAACTGCTAAAATTAGTGCCTGCCACATGGTTGGCATTAACAAATACTTGTTTCCACAATGAATAATTGAGATTATTGCTGATGAAAGTGGGTTGCAACCTGTTCTTCAAGCACTTTAGGGGTTTGGCATGTTTAATTTGACTTAGGAGAAGGTTCTGTAATTAGGCTGTGTTTTTGATACTTACTGATGGTCAGTCCCCAAAGCTACTCCAGTAGTCTCAGAAAGCTACTCTGGTTGAGGCAGAAATAGGGCCCCAGTCCACGTGGCCACCCTAGACATTCACTTTTCTCCTAGGTGAATTCTGCTGGATTCTAGAAATTTCACTTACATACAGGCTGTGTAGCTAAAAGAATTTGAAACTCATTTCTCTATACCATTAAGTTAGAACAAGTTTCTTTCCCCAAATAGTGCCTGAACTCTGCAGCAATTTTTTATTGGTGAGAATGGCAGATAAGAGCTACAAAGTTGTTCTTGTCAGCATGAACCCAGTAGAGATGTCATGAAGAAAGAATTAGGAGAAGTGAAGAGATGAGACAGAGGGGATTTAGATGGACCAGGCAGATGCACAGATAGTGGGAAATAAAGTAGGAGAGGTGATAAAGGCAAAATCCACATGAGGACAAGGCCTTGAAACCTGGTAAGAGAAATGTGAACTTTGTGCAGGGCAATCAGTGGAAAATTCTAAGACAAGTGTTGTGACAGCTGCAAACAAGATGGCTTTTGGCAGTATTTTTTAACAGTTTTGGGGGTTGGGAAGAACTGTTGTAATCTGCTGAGCAAGAAACTAGATATTGAGTGTGAAGTTTTATTATAGGAGTAGAGAGAGGCCAGATCCTCATTATCTAAATTGTAGATGGTGTGTGCATGTGTTGTGTGTTTGTACGATACACACTCTTTCTTTGGTCTGTCATTTTACTGGCTGATGCAGTTACTTAGTGTTATTCAGTTTTGTCTACTTTTTTTCTTGCCTATTTTTCTTTTTTTACATTTTCCCTAATCTTTTATAGTACTGCTTCCTTAATCTGTCATCCTTGGCGAGAACAGGAGTCTTCGCAAGAAACCACTAATACCCGTGAGCATCAGAGCAGTAACAAAATCATATCCATACTTTGGTGATAGCATTTCTAAAAGCTTGCCTTCTCTATGATTTTGCTTCTCTGTTATTTGAGCAGAATTTAAATTTTCTGGATGTCTCAGGATAACCATTTTGAGCATTGTGATTTATGCTAAAAACAAGCAAAAAACAAAACCAAAATACCTCTTAGCTTTAGTTCCCTTGACTTAAAGTGGAGATAATAACATCACCACCTAATTCAGAGGCTGCTGCAAGGATCAAATGAGATAATCCTTATGGGTGCTTCCTCTGGGCCTGGCAAAGTAAGCACTGAATGAATGATGACTGCTAGTGTCACCATTGCCATCGTCATCCTCTGGCCTCCCTGACTGTTAGATAACTCCACCTACCTTGTAGACTTTTTCTTTATTAGCCTTTGCATGATCACGGTTTTCCTCTCACATGGATTGTCTGTCCTGTTCACACCTGTGGCTTAATAGTAGACATTCAGTAAATATTGACAAAATGCGTCATTGAATACATGATTATATTTTAGATATTTTTTTCATTAAAAGGCATTCTCCATTTGCTGCAGGCTGAGTGACTTCTTTGGAGATGTGTACGATTTCTATCCTTTAAAAATGTATTCCATTATTATAACACTTCCCTTTCTGATTTGGGTTGCAGCTATGCCTAGCACCAGCTTTGCAAGTTAAATTTCTAAGTGTGGCATAGTCAAGCTACATAGAATACTTATAAAAGTCCTCATGTAAGTCTCATTGTAAACTTGAATAATTTTGCAAGTGTGCACAATAAAAATAGACTAAAAATGGCATAGTTTACTCAACAGAATCATGTTCTTTTCAGCATTCTGGGGCCTGGATCATGTACGCAATTTATGAAATCATTCACCCAGCAGCAAACAGAGAATGTTTTTAATGAGATGTCAAATCAGATTGAATTGTGGTCATGAAAGATGTTGAGTATATTGAGTCATAGAAATTTGAACTCTATTGAGCATAAAACATTATGTTTTGTATTAAAAAGAAACAGTAAATGCTTATCTGCTATTTATATTTTGTTTATAAGTCCTATTTTACCATAGCTAAGGAGAAGATGATATGATCAGCTATGAGGGGAAAAAAATGAATAAATTGTGGTGGTGTTTTTTTTATACTTTTGTAATTAAAGGAGATTGTTGCTTACCCTCTTACTGGGTCTCAATAATAGGTCATTTGTAAATAATGTTGCGTGTGATTTTCATTCATAATCTTGGGATTTGAAACTCTAAACATTTATGCCAAACTTAGTGCTTTAATAATATAATCCATTTATATGTATATTTGTATGTCACTAGGATCTCTGATAACCTCAGTGTGTGAGGTCTAAAGAATACTTTTCAGTCCTCATCTGTCTAATCCCTCAATACATTCCACCTGATGGTTACTCCCTTCTAGAAACTGTCTCTTCCCCTGGCTTCGGCACATGATTTTCCTTCCAACTTTCTAGCTGCTCCTTCTCTCTGCTCTGCTCTGCTCAGCTATTCATCCTGCAGTTCCTCAAGGCTCAGTTCAGTGCTGCTTCCTTCCTATCAAACCTAGCGTCTGAGAAGGTGACTAGAAAATACCGAAGCATGGACTCTAAAAGTCTATGCTGCCTGAGAAGGATATATAATGGCAATTTAAAGTATTAAAATATTTCTAATACAGAAGGAACATTAATTTTCTGAATCATTATTTAAATGTAAACCTGATTTAAACCATGGCCTTGGGAATAAACACGTCATCTGATTTTTAGTTTTCAGCTTTTTTTTTGCTACAGTGGGAGCAGCTTGTATATCTTGATGTGATCTGACACACTGAGCAGACGAACCCACTTTATAAAGGAGTCTTATATTCAGCGAGGTCCTGCATCCTCGGAGGTGGCCCTGAGAATAACTAAATATGAGGCAGAGGAGGCAGAAAAAAGACAGTGCAGGAGGAACTCTCCTTTCTACGCTAAAACATGAAGATGGTTCTTTCATTTCAGGTGCAAATGTTGTTTATAGAGCCTGTCACTGTGTCTGTGTCACTTTGTGTCTTATGCTTGGTTGTTTGTCAGGTTGGTAAATTTAAGGAATCCTGCAGAAACAGCCTGTCTCAGAAGTCTCACCGGTGAGAAGATGCTGAACGGTGGCTAAAATTTTGGTTAGAATCCTTGCTCACAATGCCTTGCTGATGGTATTGTGGAAGCAGCTATCAAATCAGAGCATCAGTCTTTTCTGTGCCAGAAGTCAACCATCTGTCACCTGCTCAGAAGAGTATGGAAATTATTGTCACATCTACAAGCTAAACACATGAAGCAGCGTGTGTACCATACCAACTGTCTTCATCGCCTTCAAGCTTCTCACTCTGCACATATTCTCTCCCGCCAGCTTTCAGGAGTAATCAGCAGCAATCACAGTGATTAGGGAGAAACGAAGGGGCTAGAAAATGAGCATCGCCTTCCAAATAGTTCCGCATAAGGCCTGAGCATGGCCTTATGGCTACTAGGATGGCAGGCGTCTGGGAGGGGTGATTAATATGCAGACCACACCAGCCCTTGCTTACTAGATCTTACAGGAAATAGAAGTAGAATCTGTAGGAACAGGATGATTCATCACCGTATGTGGGCTAAAAGGGGACAGGTGAAAGTATTAGCTACCTACGCCTTCAGCAGAAAGCTCTAATCATTATGTTAGTAATAGAACTGGAGATGCCCTTCTCAGGCAGTGGGGATGGAGAACTTCCGTTAAGTCTTGGTTCTTAAAGGGGCAGAGTGTTGGCAACAACACCTGGAATGTGCTTGAAGTGCAACTTTCCAAACCCACTGACACAGAAGCCCTGGAGATGCGGCCCTGCAATCTGTGTTTTACGCAGCCTTCCAGCCGATTCTGATGCTAGCCAAAATTTGAGAATCACTGCATTAAAGCACATAAAGAATAATACACTCCTGGTGCCACTTTTTGAAAATTAGTACATGTAGGCTAACTCTTGTTTGAAATTGATGTTCATAATTTAGGGAATATATTTGCGATGGAAAAATGTTCATTATTTAGAACCACTAGTACCTAAGAATTATTGATTGTGTTCCAGGAAAGTCTATAATCTCAGGCTCTCTACTGGGTTAGGGTTATGCAAAGCTGGGCCTGGGATTGATTCAGAGAATATCGAATTTCTCTAAATAACAGAGGTAGGATTATTTAGGATTTTCTTGGACATTGTGGGAAGCGGAGTGGGAGAAAGGGACAGGCAAATAGTGAGTGACCCAGGTAGAGTGTCCCTGTAAGAATCCTTGGAAAGGAGAGAAATGGAAATGTCTTTCAGGAAAACATTAAGCTGCTAACTGGGCAGTGCTGGGCAGCAACCCCTCCTGGAACCTCCCCAGTCTTCTCCGAACACCCTGCTAAGGGGCAGAGCTGTGAACAGCTGTGTGGCAGGAGGAAGGATGGTAATGAGTCCAGGGGAGTCCCACATTTGGGTCTGTGCCGAGGATGCAGAATAGAAGAGCTGGCGGGTATCCAGCAATGCCTGAGAATTCCACAGAAGCGGATAATTGAGGCCGCGGCACAGAAGCCTCCAAAGTTCGCGGAGATGTTGAGGAGGACATTGGACTTTTTTCTTAGGCCGCAGAATGGAGGGTTGAGCCAAACTTTTCTGGATTTTAAAGAGTGCGGTGGTCAAAGCTGACATTTGGGCTCCATGTTTATTATAACAGTTGAGTGTTTTTTTTGTAGTGAAACTTGTTATCCTGTGAAAGAGAATGGTATGAAAAACCTGCATAATTTGATTTAAAGCTTTGGATGAAGAGGAAAGGGCCTGAAATGGCTGAGTAGCAGCCCTCTGAGTGACTGATGCCAGGCCACGGTTTCCCTTTCCGACCTTTGGTGATACCCTCTTGTTATCCCTGCTTCCCATGAGCTCATCCTTGCAGGACCTTCTCACCCGTCACAGGGGCCTCTCGGAACTGTGTCCCTCCCCTTGTTTCCTTGTTCCCAGCGAACATACTGGCACCCTGCTCAGCAAAGCGCCCCGTCAAAAATGTAAAGTGCTCCAACTAAAATGGATCTGCACTCCACTTCATCAACTTGAATTGCAAGCAGTATGTCACATTTACCTGAAAGGACATGGCCTTTTACCCCCCAAAAGACAGACTTTTTATGGTAGCCTCAGGGTCAGGCTGTCAGTCATGCTCTAACTCTCTAAAGGAGAAAACCAAGCCATCCACAACCTACAGAATCGCATGTGGGAGAGCCTGCCTGAGGTTACAGAGTCCCTTATCTAACAGATCAAAAGGCTGAAGGATAAATGAGATGCCCCTGCTAAATAGAGAGCTGTTTCACAACACGACAGCCTCTCAAGGTCCCTTCTGTCAATAAAGTAGAGAAAGGCATAAGATCCTCTTCCCTCTGAAGTGTTACTTGGAAGAATCCATGTCATGTAATCTATTATAACCCCTGCAAAGCCTGGAATGTGTCGTTACTGCTTATCTCAGAGTATCAGAGAAAGATTGGAGATGATAGATTCAAGCAATATTATTTTTTTCTTACCTAGGTCAAAGTGAACCTTTTGAAAATATTAATACTTAACTTGTGAGTATATTAGATAGGATGCTGTTGCCTGCTTCCAACTAATACAAAGTGAACTTAAAAAACTGAGAGTATATTGGATCAAATTCTTCCATTGTTTTAGTAGATTTTTAGTTACATTGCATTTTTAGGGACCACTGAAGATCCTTTTTAATTTAAAAAATATATAAGATAACCTAAAAAATTTCCAAATGTTCTATGGTCCAAAGGTAAAAAAGAAAATTATGGTGCCTATCAAATGAAATTTCACAAGCAGGATAATCTGTAAATGTGTTTACTGCAATGCTGCTTCCCTTTTTAAAATCTAATCAGAGGCATGCTTACTGCCTTTCTTTCCTTTTGCATTTGTGATGAACTAAAGCAATCTCACAAAAAAAGAGTAACATTAATATTTGTAATGCTATCTTTTTAAATAAAGATGTCTTTCATACCTATATACATTTAAATAAAATAAATCAACTTATGAATATAAGTTATGTTGTTAATATATTGTGATTCCTCATGTCACTCAAATATCCTCTCAACAAAATGTTCTTTCTTGACAGTGCTCTCTCTCCTCCTCCCCTGCCTGGCATTTCTTCCTGGAATCCTCCAAGACCCCACACCCCTGGCCCTTTATATGTGTTGGCCCTCCTGCTGTGAAGGCCCTTAGTACATGTAATCTACCTCACTCTCTGTCAGCGCCAACTCCTAATTGTCCTTCAGCTGAGGCATTAACCAGAGAAATCAAGGATCAGTGCACTTTAGATGTGCCGACAAGGAAGTTGATTCTGCATAAGGTTAGAAGACAAGATTATCAACAAAGGAATCTCCAAATTTTTACATTTGTGCTTGACTTAGTCTGTTTAGGCTGGTATAAAAGAATACTGTAGACTTGGTGGCTTAGGCAGCTAACATTTATTTCTCGACAATTCTGGAGGTTGGGAAGTCCAAGATCAAGGTGCTGGTAGATCCCAGGTCTGGTGAGGGCTCACTTCCTGGTTTGCAGACAGCCGGCTTCTTGTATCCTCACATGGTGAAGAGTGGAAAGAGAAGCAAGCTCTCTCACGTCTCTCCTTATAAAGGCACAATCCTATTCGTGGGGACTCTATCCTCTTGACTTAATCACCTTTCATAGGCCCCCATCTCCTAATACCATCCCTTTAGGGATGATTAGGATTTCAACATATGAATTTGGAGGGGACACAAACATGCAGTCCATTACACTTGTCCCTCTTTACCAATTCACATGGTCACAAAGCACCATCTACAAATGAAGTCTTCAGTGACACACTGCTTATTCTAATCTGCCCTTGTCAACTACAGGTACTGCATGAAATAAAGGATGTCAGGCTCAATTAGTAATAGATACTCAAATATTATAACCTCCCCACCCCAGACTATTTAAATATACCTCATTGTTCAGTTTAAATGCCAAGTCAATGTTGGGGTGCCCATCTGCTGACCTTGGCTTTTGTATTTATGGGAGAGGAATTGGGTCAAAGAAAGTGGGGAGAGCATACGTAGCAATATTGTGCCATCTATATACCACTGTGATTTTGTGAATGAAGAAAACCTCGCATTACTTGGAATTGGAAAGATATTGGGCAGCTGGAAAAAAAAAAAAAACCAGAAAAATTGAAAAAGGCTGGGAAAAGAAAGAGAAACTACTTAGTTTGGAATTCATCCCTGATGCCTTGGTAGCAATCACAACTAGCATGGAGACCTTACATAAATTCCTTAACCTTTCTGGAATGCAATTTCCTTATCAGAAAATAATGATCACAATAGTACCTCCTTATAGTTGTTGTGAGGATTAAATGAATTGATGCACGTAAAGGACTTAGAACTGTTCCTGTAAGTGCTCTATGTGAGTTAGTGGATATAATATTATTACCAGTTTTCAGAATAGAAACTCTTGTCCTGCTCTAAATAGTGCTAGATATTTCAAAGCTATGAATAATTCAGGAAAATCATGGTTATGTTACTGCTGCTGTTTAATTGTGCATCCTTTTAATTCTCAGCATATTTATGATTCTGTTTTGGGTTCCTTAAGGGAGGTAGGAAATGAAAATCAACAGGTGGGAAGATGTAATGGGAAGGAAGAAAGAAATGAGCAAGGATTTTCAGGCATGGTACTTTGATGACACCCATAGCAGTGCCTCTTGGTAAAACCACATGGGTTGAAGGAATGTTTGGCTTTGAAGTAGAGGAAGCTTTAGGGGACCAGCACTTTGGTGAAGGGGATTTGATTTCCACTGTGTAGTTGAGGATGGAAGGATAACATTAACTGGAGACAAGATTTAGATTCATTGTAAAGAAGACATTTCAGCAATGTCAACAATGACCTTATAAAAGGGTGAGTCATTGGAACTGTTAAACAGAGACTAAATAACCACATGTCATGAATGTTATTTACAGCATTCCAGTGTGACCTAGGAGACTTGTAACTGAGTAACCTCCAGGGGGTGGGGGAGGGGCAGTTTTAATACTGAGATTTTTAAAGGTGGGGAAATAAATCAGTTGATTTGGGGGTTCAAGTCTAGGCTCTACTACCTAGGGTGTATGACCCTGGGCTGGTCACTCACTCTCCAAGGGCCTCCTAACCCTCCCTGCCCTGAATGGATGTTTAGAAATCACATGAATTAATGTGTATTGTCATTGCAACTTGTTAAGGCTTACTTGCTTTCCCTGCATGCTTGTCATTTCCTACACATTCATTAAGTGCTCTATTCACTGGAGACTGTGCTTGGCATTGTAAATTATTTTAATAAAATTCATTTTTGTTTCCTTAGGAACTTTTGGTGGGAAGTCTACTTATTCAAGTAAAAAAAATGGATATCAAAATGGAAAATTTTACTAAATAAAATATATTAAATTTATATCTCACTTTTTTCCACAGAGGATTTAAAGCAGGTTATTTTTCTGGTAAAAACACACCCTGTTCGGTTATTATAAGACATTCTTATATTGAACTTTAGATTGTAGAAACTTAGGGGGTGAAGTTTATGAGCTTTTACTCATTCTGATAAGGACAAGAGTCTTACCAAAATTTTCTATACTTTGCTTTTTAGCTTTGTTGAAACTGAATCAGTAGTCTGTGATGACCCTGATGATTTTCCTGCTTTTCAAGGACTATTTAGTTAGTACCTTGGTTTAATTTGGCTTGAAAATCCTCAAGCAGTTAATTTTTAATAGAAATTAATGAGAATTTTATCCTGAAAACCATGTTCTCCCATTTTAATGCATAGTACATGGTTGGCTACTTTTACTGATGCACTGGCACCTTTAGGATAACAGTGTCAAGTATCAGTCTACTAGATGCTGATTGATGTGATTTGTCACCCTTTTGTGGGTAGGTGGCCATGACTGGGTTGGGAGGGGCTGTGGGAAGGAACGAAAAGGGACAGATAATAACACTTACTGAGTACATCTCCTATGTGCCAGAATTCTAATTTAATTTTACAATGCATATTATCCCCATTATCTTGGTGATTAAATTGAAGTTCTAAGAAGTTGATTAACATGCCCAAGATCGCAAATTTAATAAGCAGTGGAGGTGAGATTTGGATCTAGGTTTCTCTGATTCTAATGCTTACGTGCCTTTCCCTGACATGGGTCTTCTCTAACCAGGATGAACCCCAGAGATTATCAGTCCTTGCCCCAAACACACACAAACACAGGTTGTTGCCATTGTTATCTTCACCTTTGTTGTGGTACCTTTGAAGAAATGATGAGAAGAACCCAAAGGGTATATACATAGGCTGATGCTTTCTACTAATGAGATTTTATTATTTCACGTTATAACTTTTAGAAACTAACTGTACCAAACAAACTACATTGTATTTTTTGAAGGAAATCAGAAAATGGAAAGAAATATTAGTCTCTTTTGTAACCATATGGCTTCTTAAGATAGCAAAGGCAGATAGCTTTATATGCACATTTGTTTAATATAGAGGAATCTAAAAATAATATTGCAGAATATATGCTGGTATTTTTAAAGTTTTTGAATGAATAGTTATAGTTTGAATGTGAGATAGTGGAATACATTTGTAAACTCTTAAGTTATTTCCCTTGATACCTGCAAAACTTTATGATTTCATGGGAAATACATTTTTTTTCCAGACCAAAGCTTTAGTGTTTTTGAGTAAAAGAAGGCATGACCTTTTTTGTAGCTAGAATTAAAATTGTGCTGAATAGACTATTTTTACAGCCCATGCCCTAGTTGGAGTTTCAGCATACAGGATGTAAATTGTGTATATCTCACTCTTAGCCCTGACCTCAGCACCTAACTTATACTCAATTGCTGTATTTACTGGGATACGTATTGGAATTTATCTATTTTTATATACTTTTCTCTCCTACTTTTTTGAGAACAATTTGAGGTCAGGAACTTATTCATTTTTAGATCCCTAGAGCCTAGGATGTATGAAGTCTCTAATAAATGTGTGTTGATTGTTATTATAATTGGATGGCTTATTCATCCATCCAGTTCATCCAGGGAAATTGGTCTTAACTAAAGGAACTGCTCTCAGCTTTGGAACCAGCAGTGGGGTAGGTGAACTTTCAAAGTCTCTCCCTCTCCTGTAATTTGATCTAACAACTTGCCTTGGACACCACACTTATACCTTTCTTTCCTACCACCATTTTACCTCCTTCCTGATGTTGAAACTGATTTCTCTTGAAGATACTACTTCTCTGGCAGACTTTAATGGAGGCTTAGCCTTCTTTGATTTCCCCACACTGGTGGGGGTTGATAGCTAATCTGCAGAATTCTTTATATATATGCCCCTTGGATACTTCTAGATCAGTGCTGCCAACAGAAATATAACACTAGCCTCCGTAAGTCATTTTAAATTTTCTGTTGGCTACATTAAGCAGTAAAAAAGAAAAAAAAAAACAGGTGAAATTAATTTAAATTATGTTTTATTCAACCTAACAAATCCAGAAATTATCATTTTAACATGTAACTTAATAAAAATTATTAACAAGATGTGTTACATTTTTAAAAATTTTCTTTTTTAGAGATAGGGTTAATTTCTCAATATTTAAGAGCCTTTCTCTTATACTCCCTGTTTCCTGTTATCTTGCTGTGATCAATAAGACAATTTTTCACTTTTCTGAAGTATTGTAGCATTAGCTGCTATAAAACATTTCTTCTACCCCCTTGCTGCTGTCATCTTTGGAAATTCTACTATTTCTCAACATCTTATCACATCATCTCCACTTTACCCCTCACCATCATCTCCGATCTTTGATCCTTATTATCACCACTCTACAGTCTCATAAGCTCAATAATTCCTTTCTCTGCCCATAATTCATAGCATTCTGTTATTATCTGTTCTTACATGCTTTCTCCTACCTTTTGTTTTTAATTTTGGGGGAATCATTTTTACGGTAATTTCAAGTACGAGCATATGGATTACTTAACTATGCTGCTGTGCCTACCAGATCTCAGGAAAGCTATTACAGATCCATGTGACAAAGATTTATTAAGCACCTACTATTTATTTGATATGTACTTTTCTAGGTGCTGAGGATAAGGCAGTGGACACACAGCACAGACCCCTGCCCTCAAGGAGCTTGCATTCTATTGGGGAGACACATGGGAAACAAGCCATTGTCACATGTAATATGCCAGTTAATGATAATTGTCATGGAGTAAAATAAAGCAGACAAAGGGGTGACCATGTGTCAGGGATGGGGGTTGAAATTAGATGACATGGCCAGTGAGGATCAACAGAGCAGTGACCTTAATGCACAACGTTGGAGACCGTGAGCCATGCAGATGTCTTGGGAGCAGTGTGCCAGGGAGAGGGGGTAGCAAGTGCAAAGGCCTCAAATACATCCTCAAGCTTTTACTTATTTGAGAAGCCTTCAAAGGAAAATTATCCAGTAGAAAAAAAGAGATCATGGGTTTCTCCTCCAAATTCAGCACCAACGGGAGTAGTATAAAGATGGGAAATGGCAGAAGCCACTGAGCCCAGCTCCCCTTACTTACTGATAAAAAAAAAAAAAAAAAAATGGCACCGAGAACAGTTATGTGGCTTGTTCAAGATCTGAGCTATAGAATGACAGATTTGGCCCTGGACCCAGGTCTCCTGCCTGCAGGCTAAATAAACATGGCAATTGTGTGGTTATCGTGGTGGAATATCAATACTGAAATACAGTTCTGCTGCTAACCTCCCTGCAGAGTCAGACATATTCTACAGGTGAAGCAAAGAGCACCCTCACTGCAGATGCCAACTGCAAGTTTGGGGGTCCCGGGCCACCCGCATTTTTTGCCAAGTGACTATAATAAATTCAGGAGTTTCCTCAACCCCTTCACCTTTGATAATTCACTAGAATGACCCACAAAACTCAGAAAAACACTATGCTTTTGGTTACATTTTTATTATAAAGAACACATATCAGAACCAACAAAATGAGGAGATACATAGGGCCAGGTCTGGAAGGGTCTTACACACAGAACTTTCACGTGTCCTCCCTTTAGAATCAGGACATACTGACTCCAGACACATCGGTGTGTTCACCTACCTACCAGGGAACTCACTGGGGCCTTGGGTGTCCAAAATTTTTGTTTGTTTTATTACATAGGCATGGTTGATTAAATCATTGGCTACATGATTAGACTCAACCTTTAGTC